CCCAGGATTAAAAGAACATGGGTGAATCTAAACATCCCAGTACTAAAAGAACACACGTAAATCTAAACATCCCAGTACTAAAAGAACACAGGTGAATCTAAACATCCCAGTACTAAAAGAACACAGGTAAATCTAAACATCCCAGGATTAAAAGAACATGGGTGAATCTAAACATCCCAGTACTAAAAGAACACACGTAAATCTAAACATCCCAGTACTAAAAGAACACAGGTGAATCTAAACATCCCAGTACTAAAAAAACAAAGATGAATCTAAACATCCAAGTATTAAAAGAACACTTGTGAATCTAAACATCCCAGTACTAAAAGAACACAGGTGAATTTAAACATCCCAGTACTAAAAGAACAAAGATGAATCTAAACATCCAAGTATTAAAAGAACACGGGTGAATCTAAACATCCCAGTACTAAAAGAACATAGGTAAATCTAAACATCCCAGTACTAAAAGAACACGAGTAAATCTAAACATCCAAGTACTAAAAGAACACAGGTAAATCTAAACATCCCAGTACTAAAAGAACATGGGTGAATCTAAACATCCCAGTACTAAAAGAACACAGGTGAATCTAAACATCCCAATACTAAAAGAACAAAGGTGAATCTAAACATCCCAGTACTAAAAGAACAAAGGTGAATCTAAACATCCAAGTATTAAAAGAACACAGGTGAATCTAAACATCCCAGTACTAAAAGAACACAGGTAAATCTAAACATCCAAGTACTAAAAGAACACAGGTAAATCTAAACATCCCAGTACTAAAAGAACATGGGTGAATCTAAACATCCCAGTACTAAAAGAACACAGGTGAATCTAAACATCCCAATACTAAAAGAACAAAGGTGAATCTAAACATCCCAGTACTAAAAGAACAAAGGTGAATCTAAACATCCCAGTACTAAAAGAACAAAGGTGAATCTAAACATCCAACTATTAAAAGAACAGAGGTAAATCTAAACATCCCAGTACTAAAAGAACATGAGTAAATCTAAACATCCAAGTACTAAAAGAACACGGGTAAATCTAAACATCCCAGTACTAAAAGAACATGAGTAAATCTAAATATCCCAGTACTAAAAGAACATGAGTAAATCTAAACATCCCACAACTAAAATGAACACAGGTGAATCTAAACATCCCAGTACTAAAAGAACACAGGTAAATCTAAACATCCCAGTACTAAAAGAACATGGGTGAATCTAAACATCCCAGTACTAAAAGAACACAGGTGAATCTAAACATCCCAGTACTAAAATAACACAAGTGAATCTAAACATCCCAGTACTAAAATAACACAGGTAAATCTAAACATCCCAGTACTAAAATAACACAAGTAAATCTAAACATTCCAGTACTAAAATAACATGGGTGAATCTAAACATCCCAGTACTAAAAGAACACGGGTGAATCTAAACATCCCAGTACTAAAAGAACACACTCTGTCAGGTGAATCTAAACATCCCAGTACTAAAATAACACAGGTGAATCTAAACATCCCAGTACTAAAAGAACACAGGTAAATCTAAACATCCCAGTACTAAAAGAACATGGGTGAATCTAAACATCCCAGTACTAATAGTAACACAAGTAAATCTAAACATCCCAGTACTAAAATAACACAGGTAAATCTAAACATTCCAGTACTAAAAGAACACACTCAGGTAAATCTAAACATCCCTGTACTAAAAAAAACATGAGTAAATCTAAACATCCCAGTACTAAAAGAACATGGGTGAATCTAAACATCCCAGTACTAAAAGAACACAGATGAATCTAAACATCCCAGTACTAAAATAACACAGGTGAATCTAAACATCCCAGTACTAAAATAACACAAGTAAATCTAAACATCCCAGTACTAAAATAACACAGATAAATCTAAACATTCCAGTACTAAAAAACCATGGGTGAATCTAAACATCCCAATACTAAAAGAACACAGGTAAATCTAAACATCCCAGTACTAAAAGAACACAGGTAAATCTAAACATCCCAGTACTAAAAGAACACAGGTGAATCTAAACATCCCAGTACGAAAAGAACACAGGTGAATCTAAACATCCCAGTACTAAAAGAACATGGGTGAATCTAAACATCCCAGTACTAAAATGAACACAGGTGAATCTAAACATTCCAGTACTAAAAGAACACAGGTGAATCTAAACATCCAAGTATTAAAAGAACACGGGTGAATCTAAATATCCCAGTACTAAAAGAACACGGGTAAATCTAAACATCCCAGTACTAAAAGAACACAGGTGAATCTAAACATTCCAGTACTAAAAGAACACAGGTAAATCTAAACATCCAAGTACTAAAAGAACACAGGTGAATCTAAACATCCCAGTACGAAAAGAACACAGGTGAATCTAAACATCCCAGTACTAAAAGAACATGGGTGAATCTAAACATCCCAGTACTAAAATGAACACAGGTGAATCTAAACATTCCAGTACTAAAAGAACACAGGTGAATCTAAACATCCAAGTATTAAAAGAACACGGGTGAATCTAAATATCCCAGTACTAAAAGAACATGGGTGAATCTAAACATCCCAGTACTAAAATGAACACAGGTGAATCTAAACATTCCAGTACTAAAAGAACACAGGTGAATCTAAACATCCAAGTATTAAAAGAACACGGGTGAATCTAAATATCCCAGTACTAAAAGAACACGGGTAAATCTAAACATCCCAGTACTAAAAGAACACAGGTGAATCTAAACATTCCAGTACTAAAAGAACACAGGTAAATCTAAACATCCAAGTACTAAAAGAACACAGGTGAATCTAAATATCCCAGTACTAAAATAACACAAGTAAATCTAAACATCTCAGTACTAAAAGAACACAGGTGAATCTAAACATCCCAGTACTAAAAGAACACAGGTGAATCTAAACATCCCAGTACTAAAAGAACGCAGGGAAATCTAAACATCCCAGTACTAAAAGAACACAGGTAAATCTAAACATCCCAGTACTAAAAAAACATGGGTGAATCTAAACATCCCAGTACTAAAAGAACACAGGTGAATCTAAACATCCCAGTACTAAAAGAATATGAGTAAATCTAAACATCCCTGTACTAAAAGAACATGAGTAAATCTAAACATCCCAGTACTAAAAAACCATGGGTGAATCTAAACATCCCAGTACTAAAAGAACACAGGTAAATCTAAACATCCCAGTACTAAAAAAACATGGGTGAATCTAAACATCCCAGTACTAAAAGAACACAGGTGAATCTAAACATCCCAGTACTAAAAGAATATGAGTAAATCTAAACATCCCTGTACTAAAAGAACATGAGTAAATCTAAACATCCAAGTACTAAAAGAACAGGGGTAAATCTAAACATCTCAGTACTAAAAGAACATGGGTGAATCTAAACATCCCAGTACTAAAATGAACACAGGTGAATCTAAACATTCCAGTACTAAAAGAACACAGGTGAATCTAAACATCCAAGTATTAAAAGAACACGGGTGAATCTAAATATCCCATTACTAAAAGAACACGGGTAAATCTAAACATCCCTGTACTAAAAGAACACAGGTGAATCTAAACATTCCAGTACTAAAAGAACACAGGTAAATCTAAACATCCAAGTACTAAAAGAACACAGGTGAATCTAAATATCCCAGTACTAAAATAACACAAGTAAATCTAAACATCTCAGTACTAAAAGAACACAGGTGAATCTAAACATCCCAGTACTAAAAGAACACAGGTGAATCTAGACATCCCAGTACTAAAAGAACGCAGGGAAATCTAAACATCCCAGTACTAAAAGAACACAGGTAAATCTAAACATGCCAGTACTAAAAAAACATGGGTGAATCTAAACATCCCAGTACTAAAAGAACACAGGTGAATCTAAACATCCCAGTACTAAAAGAATATGAGTAAATCTAAACATCCCTGTACTAAAAGAACATGAGTAAATCTAAACATCCCAGTACTAAAAAACCATGGGTGAATCTAAACATCCCAGTACTAAAAGAACACAGGTAAATCTAAACATCCCAGTACTAAAAAAACATGGGTGAATCTAAACATCCCAGTACTAAAAGAACACAGGTGAATCTAAACATCCCAGTACTAAAAGAATATGAGTAAATCTAAACATCCCTGTACTAAAAGAACATGAGTAAATCTAAACATCCAAGTACTAAAAGAACAGGGGTAAATCTAAACATCCCAGTACTAAAAGAACATGAGTAAATCTAAACATCCAAGTACTAAAAGAACAGAGGTAAATCTAAACATCCCAGTACTAAAAGAACATGAGTAAATCTAAACATCTCAGTACTAAAAGAACAGAGGTAAATCTAAACATCCCAGTACTAAAAGAACATGAGTAAATCTAAACATCCCAGTACTAAAAGAACAGAGGTAAATCTAAACATCCCAGTACTAAAAGAACACAGGTAAATCTAAACATCCCAGTACTAAAAGAACACAGGTAAATCTAAACATCCCAGTACTAAAAGAACATGAGTAAATCTAAACATCCCAGTACTAAAAGAACAGAGGTAAATCTAAACATCCCAGTACTAAAAGAACACAGGTAAATCTAAACATCCCAGTACTAAAAGAACACAGGTAAATCTAAACATCCAAGTACTAAAAGAACAGAGGTAAATCTAAACATCCCAGTACTAAAAGAACACAGGTGAATCTAAACATCCAAGTACTAAAAGAACACAGGTAAATCTAAACATCCAAGTACTAAAAGAACATGAGTAAATCTAAACATCCCAGTACTAAAATAACACAGGTGAATCTAAACATCCAAGTACTAAAAGAACACAGGTAAATCTAAACATCCAAGTACTAAAAGAACACAGGTAAATCTAAACATCCAAGTACTAAAAGAACACAGGTAAATCTAAACATCCAAGTACTAAAAGAACACAGGTGAATCTAAATATCCCAGTACTAAAAGAACACAAGTAAATCTAAACATTCCAGTACTAAAATAACATGGGTGAATCTAAACATCCCAGTACTAAAAAGAACACAGGTGAATCTAAACATTCCAGTACTAAAAGAACACAGGTGAATCTAAACATCCCAGTACTAAAATAACACACATCTTACCTAATTGCTTCTGTATATCCTTTGACTCCTCCAATTCTCTGATGTATTGGGCTTTATCTATAAATAATAGAATTGTTTTACTGTATCACTTATTCACAAAGGTAATAAGATAATGCTAGTGATTCACACTACCTATGCTAGCAACCAAGTGTGCCCAGTTATGCCGGACAAAATACTGGTGGATAGTGGCGGAGTTGGCTGGTAAAGCAGATTGGTGATTGTGAGGATTAGCTATGATGAGTGATTGGTGGTTGTGCAGGTTGGCTGTGAGGGGTGATCGGTGGTTGTGCGGGTTGGCTGTGAGGGGTGATTGGTGGTTGTGCGGGTTGGCTGTGAGGGGTGATCGGTGGTTGTGCGGGTTGGCTGTGAGGGGTGATTGGTGGTTGTGCAGGTTGGCTGTGAGGGGTGATCGGTGGTTGTGCGGGTTGGCTGTGAGGGGTGATTGGTGGTTGTGCAGGTTGGCTGTGAGGGGTGATCGGTGGTTGTGCGGGTTGGCTGTGAGGGGTGATTGGTGGTTGTGCGGGTTGGCTGTGAGGGGTGATTTGTGGTTGTGTGGGTTGGCTGTGAGGGGTGATTGATGGCTGTAAGAGTTGCTGTGAGGGGTGGTTGGTGGCTGTAAGGGTTGGCTGTGAGGGGTGGTTGTGCGGGTCGGCTGTGAGGGGTGGTTGGTGGCTGTAAGGGTTGAATGTTAAAAGTGATTGATGGCTGTGAGGATTAGCTGTGAGGGGTGATTGGTGGTTGTGAGAATTAGCTGTGAGGGGAGATTAGTGGTTGTATGGTTGGCTGTGAGGGGTGATTGGTGGTTGTGAGCATTAGCTGTGAGGAGTGATTGGTGGTTGTGCAGGTTGGCTGTGAGGGGTGATTGGTTATGCGGGTTGGCTGTGAGGGGTGATTGTGAGGATTAGCTGTGAAGAGTGATTGGTGGCTGTGCGGGTTGGCTATGAGGGGTGATCAGTGGCTGTGCGGGTTGGCTGTGAGGGGTGATTGGTGGTTGTAAGGGTTGGCTGTGAGGGGTGATTGGTGACTATAAGGGATGGTTGTGAGGGGTGATTGGTGGCTGTGCGGGTTGGCTGTGAGGGGTGATTGATGGCTGTGCGGGTTGGCTGTGAGGGGTGATTGGTGACTATAAGGGATGGTTGTGAGGGGTGATTGGTGGTTGTAAGGGTTGGATGTGAGGGGTGATTGGTGGTTGTGAGGGTTGGTTGTGAGGGGTGATTGGTGGTTGTGAGGATTGGTTGTGGGGGATGATTGGTGACTATAAGAGTTGGTTGTGAGGGGCGATTGGTGGTTGTAAGGGATGGTTGTGAGGGGTGATTGGTGGTTGTAAGGATTAGCTGTGAGGAGTGATTGGTGGTTGTGCGGGTTGGCTGAGAGGGGTGATTGGTGGTTGTGCGGGTTGGCTATGAGGAGTGATTGGTGGTTGTGAGGATTAGCTGTGAGGAGTGATTGGTGGTTGTGCGGGTTGGCTGTGAGGGGTGATTGATGGCTGTAAGGGTGGCTGTGAGGGGTGATTGGTGACTGTGAGGGGTGATTGGTGGTTGTAAGGGTTGGATGTGAGGGGTGATTGGTGGTTGTGAGGGTTGGTTGTGAGGGGTGATTGGTGGTTGTGAGGATTGGTTGTGGAGGTGATTGGTGACTATAAGAGTTGGTTGTGAGGGGCGATTGGTGGTTGTAAGGGTTGGATGTGAGGGGTGATTGGTGGTTGTGAGGGTTGGTTGTGAGGGGTGATTGGTGGTTGTGAGGGTTGGTTGTGAGGGGTGATTGGTGGTTGTGAGGATTGGTTGTGGGGGTGATTGGTGACTATAAGAGTTGGTTGTGAGGG